ACTGATGTTAGCTGTACCTTGCCTAAGTCCCTCCCAGCTTGGTGTGAAGCTCCTCCCCTGAATAAAGCAGAGGCCCTGGCCTCCCCAGGTGTGCATTACTGGTTGGCAGGCATGGAGTAAAGATGGTGTGCATTGCTGGTTGGCAGGCATAGAGTAAAGATGGCAGAGCATTACTGGCTGGAAGGCATGCGTTAAAGATTGCAGGGCAGTGAGTTGCTGCCTGCAGAGGCCACGATGCCTGTAGTCCCAAGCCTGCCCTCCAGTGATGTATCCACTCTAGCTTTGGGGTGCCTCATTGTCTCTCTCTTTGTCTCTTTCTGTGTATTCTTGATATATATGAATCGCCGTCAGGTATCCTCTCCTCGTGAACTGAACCCCAATGTCGAGGCGGGTCCCCAACACTGACAGTTTGGCTCTCTATAGTTTCTCTATTTCGACATCACTTTCTGATCACGTAGACTACAGCTACAATAACCGCTTTAATGTCCTTGTCTTTCCATTCTAATTAATATGTGTCCACATGGACTGACTGTTCTCCTTGTTATAGGTCACACTGTCCTACTTGTTTGCATGACTCATGAATTGTGATTGGTTGCCGGACACTGCATTGTACCCTCGTGGATGGTAGACATTTTGATATCCCTGTAAATATCCTGCATTTGCTCTGGGCTGCACATTCTCCTGCTAGGATTGCTCAGGCGGGTCTGGAGCGGTTCCCATCTAAGGATAACTCTCCCCTGATTCGTCAGAGAGCTTCTGTCTAGGATGTTCCAGGAATCATGGGGGTTTTCAGTGTGGCTGGTGATGCAGGGTTTCTCCCAGGTCTGTCTTCTTAGAATCGCTCTTGCTCCAGCTTGCCCAATTCGGACGTGTGCTGACGGGCACTTGGCTGAAGGCTCTGCTGATCTCTGGGGCTTCCTCTTTTTTCTCACACTCTGTCCTATATGTGATGCCAGCCACCTGTCCAGTCGGGGCTCTTGGCTCTGTCTCTTCAGGTTGGTGGTCCTCAGGGTCCTCCCTCAGTGGCAACAAGCTTGAACGTGTGGGGCCCCCTCCTCTCAGGGGTCCCTGTTCATCCCTGTCTGACATCTAGGACACAGAAAGCCCTTGTTTTGTGAATTCTGTTCAGATTTGGTTGTTTCACATATTTCTGCATCTCAGTCAGAGTGGGAGCTGATGGGCTTGTTTACAGAGATGACAGGAAGCGTGTGCTTCATGCCGACGGCACTAACCCGAGAGGGGCAGAGACATGATGGGACACTGTAAGAGAGGAGATGCCGGTGGTCCCCAGTCGACTCCGACTTGTCCCCACCAGGTTTCTTAGGCTGTGCTCTTCATGGGAGACCACTGTACCCTCCTCCACAGAGCACTTGGGCTCAGCCCAGCACCCACTTGGTTAGCAGTCGGGCATTTAACCAGGACACCTTGGATAAGATAATGAGTGTGTGCTTACATGCTGATGGCACCAAGGAGACGCACAGAGATCACACAATACACACTTACGTCTTGAAGGCCCAGCAAGTCCTGAACACTGTGGAATAGCTCCTCTTCTTCAGTCACGGCGCTCTGGGCCAAGTCACAGGCTTCCAGGTAATAGGCCATTCTCTGCTCCGCATCTTTCTCATGCTGGGCGCTCAACCTTTTGACACAAGACTGGAGTTCAGGACATTCTGTCTTTGCTGCTGTGATATACAAGTTCCACCTCAAAGAGAGTCCACAGGGCAGAGTCGCACTGCCCCATGGGCTTCCCAAGGCTGTCGCTATCACAAGAGGAGAAGCTGGTGGTACAGCACCAGGGTTCCTTACTATGATGTCAGTCCTAATTAGAGGCGTATGGGTAATTTTCATATGGTGGCACTGTGTGTTTTAGTAGGACCTAACATTGTGCACTTGGGAATTTTACTTCAGCATGTCTTCACAGCTGGACTAATGCAATATACAGGCATGATACTATCTTTTCTCATAAAATTCAAACTTGCAGTGGGCAGATGTGGGGGTAGTAGAAGGGTGTGAGGTATAAGAAGACCCAGAGAGGATGGCTCCTGAGGCCCAGGGGCCAGGGGAGGTCCTCCAAGGGTACACCTCCGGGAGGCAGAGGAGTCGAGCAGGGACCAGGCTTGTGAGCATGGGTGGTGGGAGGCAGCTGCCCTGTGAGGGACAACGAGGCCTAGAGGCCCCTGTGTGGACTCGTCAGAAAGCAGGCACCTCTCACCTCTTCAGTTTGGTACGCTCTTGTTTTATGTCCACACAATTCTCTTTACGGCCACAGTTGACGAACTTTGTCTCAATTTCCTGCAAGCACTCATCCATTTTGCTCAGCAATTGCTCAGGGACCTTATTGTGGGTGTGGGCAGACTCCTGGATGAGCTGGATCTGCAGATGGACACACCTGAGGGAAGACCCACACTACATCGGCCTGTGACTCCTGACGGCCACTTACCAGATGTCCACTGCTGAGGGAGGACCTGCGCTGACCCATGACCCCCAATGGTCATCTACCAGAGGTCCACACCTGAGGGAGGACCCACCCTGCATCAGCCCATGACCCCCAACAGCCACTTACCAGATGTCCACCATTGAGGGAGAACATGCATGGGCACTGACTCACTACCCTCAACAGCTGCCTAATAGATGTCCACCACTGAGGGAGGACCTTCACACACTGATCCCTGATGTCCACCTACCAGATGTCCACACTGAGGGAGGACCTGCACACACTGACCCCTGATGTCCACCTACCAGATGTCCACACTGAGGGAGAACATGCACACACTGACCAGTGATGTCCACCTGCCAGATGTCCACCTGGTTTGGTCAATTTGTGCTGTCATCCTCCCAGGTGCTTCTCAAAACTCAGAAATCGTGCCAACATACAAAGGTCCCGGCCAAATGGCTTTCCTGATGAATTCCATCAAACCTTCAGAGAAGAGCTGGAACCAATTCTACTCAAAGTATTCTAGAATACAGACAAGATTGACAACTCCCACATTTCATGAAGCAAGCATAACAGTGATACCCAAACCAGGCAAAGACATCATTGAGAAAGAAAATTATAGCTCAGGATCCCTCATGAACATAGATGTGAAAAGTCTCATTAAAATCCTAGTCGGTAGAATCCAACAATGAATAAAATAATAATAATACATTATGACCAAGTGGGATTCATACCAGCTATTCTGGGATGATTCACTATTAGTAAGAAGCAATCAATGTAATCCACCTAAATAAAACAAAGGAAAGAAACCTATAGGATCACAGCAATGGTGCCAAAAAGGCATCTGACAAGATGTAATCCCCATTCCTGATAAAAACACTAAACAAAATGGGAACTGAAGGGAAATTTCTCAACAGAATTAAGGGCATATATATAAATCCAACAACTATATCACTCTCAGTGGAAAGAAGCAGAAACTATTCTCCTTGCAACCAACAAGGAACCAGACAAGGATGTCCTTTATCACCACTCCTCCAGTACAGTGCTAGAAGTCTTAGACCACGCTAGAAGACAAGAAAGGAAAATTAAATGCATCCAAATGGGCAAAGAAGACATAAAACACTGTATTTGTACATGATATGATCTTACACTTGGAAAAACCCAAAGACTCAGCAAAAAAAAAATATATATATATATTGGAATTCACTGAAAGATTCAGCAAAGCAGCAGAGCACAAAATTAACATGCACTGTGAAGAGTAACAATGAATCTGAGAAAGCCCTCACAACACGGCTGAGCCTGCTGTTAATCACCAAAGAACAAACATTGTCTATGGGAAAAAGACAGTGTTGTACAAAGTTAAGAAAAGGTTGTCTTGGTAAACGAAACATTCTATGAGCGTTGGGGGTGGGGGGATTACTCACAGGCTAAAGGGCAGACACATGTTAGCACGGGTGATGGGCCAGGCACTATACAAGCAGAGGGAGGTTGGCAGAGGAGAGATGAAGGTAGCAGGAGAAATACAACAGTTAACTAGAGGTAGATACTGTTAACCGTGAGTCCTGGTGTGGCTCTGTAGGATAAGCTCTGGACTGCAAGATCGGCTTGAACCACAAGGTGGCATTCAAACCCACCAGCCGCTCCTCAGAACCCCTATACAGGGTCGCCATGAGTCGGAACCCACTCGACGACAACAACTGTTGACTGATGGTACATGGAGGGCGTGCAATCATCTGTCATCTGTTGACTGTAAAACTGATGATGATCTGCTCTGTAAACCTTCACTCAATTCACAAGAAAAACTTCTAAAAAAGTGACGCCCAGAGAAGACAGTTCTCCAGGAGAACGTAGAGAACACACGTCCACACACCTATGTATGCTCACACATACGCATCGCAGCACGTTAAAATCCAGAGAGACATGTTCAAGCTTGTGTCCCTAGCAGATGATGGGACACTGTGACAGAGACAAGGGCTAGAGCCTCACCCTGTCCCCGCCCTGTCCTCACCCTGTCCTCGCCCTGTCCTTGCCCTGTCCTCACACTGTCCTCACCCTGTCCTCACCCCTGTCCTCACACTGCCTTCACACTGTCCTCACACTGTCCTCACTCCTATCCTCACTCCTGTCCTCATACCATCTTCACACCGCCCTCACACTGTCCTTACCCTGTCCTCACACTGCCCTCACACAGTCCTCACACTGTCCTCACTCCTGTCCTCACACTGCCCTCACACAGTCCTCACACTGTCCTCATTCCTATCCTCACACCATCCTCACACTGCCCTCACACTGTCCTCACACTGTCCTCACTCCTGTCCTCACAGCATCCTCACACTGCCCTCACACCGTCCTCATACTGTCCTCACCCCTGTCCTCACACCATCCTTACCCTGTCCTCACCCCTGTCCTCACACTGTCCTCATTCCTGTCCTCACACCATCCTCACACTGTCCTCACCCCTGTCCTCACACCATCCTCACCCTGTCCTCACCCCTGTCCTCACACAGTCCTCACACTGTCCTCACACTGCCCTCACACTGTCCTCACACTGTCCTCACACCGTCCTCACCCCTGTCCTCACACTGTCCTCACACCGTCCTCACACTGTCATCATCCTGTCCTTACACTGTCCTCATCTTGTCCTCACCCTGACCAGACCCCGCCTCACCCACAGCCCCTGAGCTGAGCCAAGAAGTTGGTGCCGTGGGGAGCGTGGGAACCTGTTGTGCCAAGCACCGTGAGTTGGGTGGGAGAGGATGGGGATCCCAGCGTGTGTTGACTTTAGGAAACCGGATGGACATCACTGTGGCCGGACCAACTTTAAAGGCGAGACATCTTCCTCAGATAGGCCTCGGAGAGACACCTGTTCGTTTGATCAAGCTCAACACTGATTTTATGTGTGCATGGCGAGAGCAACTACACAACCACACCACACAACACAAGCACAACTGCCAACTAACCAACACGAACAGTGTCTGTTGCTACATTGAAAACGCCGCCCTTGGTGGTGAAGGCAGAGGCATCTGGGGGAGTTTAGGAGCACTCTGGACACCCTGCCACAGTGTTCAGCGGGTGAGTCGGCCAAGGCCCCATCTCAGACATCTCAGAGGACTGTCGGGGTGTTCTGAAGCTGGGGAGGGATGGGCGCTTCTGAGTACCCACAGGGTGAGCCTGAAAACGCAGACAACTCCTCCACCTTCACACCCACTGGCAGCTCTCGCGGGAAATCACCTGGCTTCCAGGTCCGTGATCATGAACTCTAACCAAGGGGCCCTGTTGGGCCGCTCCTTCTTGAAGACTGTGAAGGTATTGATGAGTTTCTGAAACAGGTGGCACACCTGGGGACAAGGTTGGTAACCCATGAGATAGCCCTGCCTCTGGAGGGCAGGACCACAGCCCAGGGGAGCGGGGACCCTGGACCTCTCCTCACCAGCACGTGTCTCTTGTTTTCTAAGCCCAGGATGGTGTCTGCCAGCGTCAGGGTGGAGTGGTACCAGAATGCCTCATTCCCACCCAGCTGCTGCGCCTTCTTAATCATTTTCTCAGCCTGTCCATAGTTCATTTCCTTGTTTGCCAGTACAGCTAGAAGGTGCAAGCATTTCGATTCTGCGCAAGGATCACCAAGCTCCTACACAGCAAACAGAGAGGGAGACTCATACACACGTCCACACACCTATGCACGTGCACATGTACAGACGGCTCACACATACATGCACATCACACGTCAGTGTACACACATACACAACATACCTCAGTGAACACACATATGCACAACAGAGAGGGAGACTCATACACATGTCCACACACCTACGTACACACACACACACTCACAGTTCACACATACATACACATATGTACACAAAATGCAACAGTATGCACACAAATACACAGATGTGTACCTACACACAGGCTCACATGCTCTCACATATACAGACACACAAACACAAAACGTGTGTGCACACCCAGATACACACACATCTATAAGAGCATATACATCCACACACATACATATATACATATGTATGCACATAGACAAGGAGCTCTGGTAGCGTAGTGGTTACGAATCAGGATGCTAACCTCAGAGTCAGCAGTTTGAAACTAACTACCAGGTGTTCCGCGAGAGAAAGATGACGCTCTCTGCTCCTGTAAAGATTTACAGCCTCGGAAACCCTGTACAGGGTCGCTCTGAGTCAGAACCGACTCCACGGCATATAACAACAACAACAATGCACATAGACATACAGAATTACACACATACCAGGGGACTTAAGAAAGTTCATGGAAACATAGAATGAAAAGATAATGAAATGTTCTCACAAACTTTCTGAAGTCTCCTTATTTATATGTACACAAATAAATACACTCAGACATGTATACAAGGATACACAATATACACATAGGTATGCATTGATGGACTCAAGCGTGACAACAGTCGTGAGGTTGGCCCAGGATCGGGCAGTGTTTCGTTCTGCTGTGCTTAAGGTCTCTATGGGTCGGTACCGACTCGATGGCACCTACCAACAACAACAATATACACACATAGGTATATACAACCATATACATGTATACAACCACACATACACATACATTTATACACATACACACTCACAGTCAGCTAGCTGTCCTGCCATTGGCAATACCACATCCACACATGAATCATGGGTGTTTCTCATGATTCACACAAAGTGTGAATCCGTGTGATGACCACCGATCCCACAGGTGCCAACCCGGATCCTGCACCCCAGCCACAGATCCGACTCCACTGCCTCTGCCCTTTTCCAACGTCCAGTCATTCCTGGGGGGCCGGAGGGGCTGCCCGAGCTGGCGACGCAGCCTGGGCGGGGCTGTGCGGCAGGGTGGAAGGCAGGGCCTGGCTGGGGGGCTTCCCACCTCAAAGGCCAGGCATGCCTCTGCCAGGAGCAGCCTTGCGGGCTGGTACAGGTCCATCTGAAGTAGCACCTCGGCCTTCAGGGTCCACAGGAGGGGGAAGGACTCTCCGTCCAGGCCCTTCTGAGTCTCTCTGTCCACCATCAGAATCTGTAAGGCGCGCAGACCCAGCGCTCAGTCACCACCTACCTTCTACTGGCTTCATCTCCCCTGCAGCCATCCACCTGCACCGGGCGGGGAGCAGCCAGGCCTGGCGTCCTTTCTCCACATGCTCTCTCCTCCCCCACCCCCACCCCCACCCCAAAGCCCACCGTCAGCTTCGTCTGCATCCTGCAGGCCCCTGCACTGGATGGTGGAGCTGGTTCTCACCATGGCCTGCCGGCAGAACCCACTGTATAGTGACCTGACAGCTGGCATGCCTGGGGTCGCTGGTTTCCAGGGGCTGTCAGACCCATCCATGACTGGCCGCTGCCCTGCCCAGGGCTGGCTCTGCCTGGGGGCCCCTCCATCCCCTGTGGTATGGACCCTGGAAGGCCTCCTACAGGGTGTCACACATGCCCATCTAGTCTTCCTGGACAATGTCCTCCAGACTGTGGGGACACGGCACAGATGAGCATGCCTAGCCCCCTGTCCTCCTCATGGGCGGGACCCCACACCTTCCTGCGTGGCTCACTCGCCTTGTCCTGGGCCACCGGGGGTCTGATCTCTCCCAGCCGCTCATGCAGGCTTTCTTCCAGCACAGGCTCCTTGTTTTTCTCTTTCTTCAAGATGATTTCTTTCCTGCAGCTGATTTAAGTAACATAGACAATGATCAGCATGCACTCAAAACCAGCCCACTTCCTAGTAATCAAATGAGTGCCGTTAAGGCAGCTATAAGCAGCGTTGTTCACGGAAGTGTTTACAAAGACAGGAGTCCCAGCTGCTACTGATGTATGTAAGCTCACCCTCGCCACCCACCTGCCCACAGGGGACTCTCAATCTCAGAAATGCCACCTTCTGAGCTCAGGCATGTCCTCCCCTACCACCATGGACCTGGACCCCCTCCACAACCCCAATGCTCAGTGAAGCCGGGCTTCAGGTGGTCCTGTGAAAAGGGGGTGCAGCCACTCCATTCCAACCACCAGCGCCCACCCCTACTCTGCCCACCCCTTCCTGCCTCCCAGCTTCTGCTCCATGCAGGGACCCTTCCTTCCCACGTGGGCTGTTGACACTCAGGCATCCTTGGCCCTTGACTGGGTGTTTGACCTAGAATAACAGTTCCTTCCTGCGTGCCCACCCCAACCCCAGCCTAGGGTCCTCCCGATACTCCACTCTCCAGCAGAATGCTAGGCAAGGCTGGTCTGCTAACCCCAAAGGACCTGGGTCTTCACATACCTGCAGGTGGCTTAGGGAAAGGGGTGGGGGAGGGATGCCCTGACCACACAGAGGAGGCTGGGAGTGTTGGGGAGAGGGCAGGTTAGGCATCTGCTGTCCTGGCCACACCTCTGGGCACTGGTCCCATGCTCAGACTGCACACACATGTGCGCACACCAGCTCCTGAGGACAGCTCACAGCACTGACCTGCTCTGCGCGGCAGAGAGGAACTCCGTGTATCCGTTCTGTGCTGGGAGCAGATGGCTAAGTGGTCAGTGGTCAGTGCCCACAGCTGACGACTTGGTTAACTCGGGGGCACGCTGTCCCCATCCCTAGCTCAGCACACCTTTACAGGTAAGCTCTAAGTACTCCGCTCCTGGCTGACACACCTTGCTTGCTCCACCTCGTTGATGTATGTCTGTCCAACCACTTCCTCGTGGAACGTCGCTGCTTCTCTCAGGCCCATGTCGGAACACAGCTGGGCAAGTCTGCAGGAAAGGACGGCGAGGTCCGTTCACAACGCCATGTGGTAGGGTCAGCGAGAAAACGGAGAACGGGCAAACTCAAAAATAAAGGTACACCTTCGTTACATTTGAAATGACTTTTAAGTTATGTGAAATTATCAGGAAAAAACCCTTGGCTCTGATGAATTTTCAGATAGAAATTGTTTTATTGTTTACTTGTATACCTATTTAGCATGGTCTCCCAGTCACCCTTAGAGGCTTGAACTGGACAAGCTGGAGGAGGTTGGGCCACCTGCATCTCGACGTCAAGAGGAGACGCTTTTCTCTGATACTTTAGCACAGCTTTATTTTGAAATGACTTCAGGTTCACAGAAACGTAGCAAAACACTACAAGGAATTCTCGTGTACAATTCGCTCAAGCCCCCTTCATGGTCAACAGCTTAGCGCGTCTGTGTTGTTCCTCCGCCCCCTCCACACATGCACGTGTACGCGCACGCACACGGTCGCACTCTCATCCCTCCTCTCCATGAATACACGCACGTGCACGCGCACGCACACGGTCGCACTCTCTCCCCTCCTCTCCACGAATACACGCACGTGCACGCCGATGCTGTCATTCTCCCCGCTTTTCTCCACGCACACACGTGTACACGCACACATTACTTATACTCTTTGTGAGGGAGTTGAGACGTCATGTCTGCTAAGACTTCAGTGTGTTTCCGAAGAACAAGGACATTCTCTTGGTAGCCACATTGCAATGATTAAACCTGGACCAGGCAGACAATTTGAAATAAAATACTATCTAAAATACATATGTGTTTTGATTCACTCAACTCCGCATGTTTCAGAGAGTAGTCTTCATGCTCATAGTCAACCACACGACTGACTTTTTAAAAATGTTTGTTCTTATCTTGCTTTGAGGAAATTTTCACTCCAGCCACTTGCATGGTCTGCAGTGACCCTGACATCGGGCTGCTGGACTGACCTGAGGTGGTAGAGATCTGCCAGGCTCTTGCTTTCCACCACAGCATGTGCGATGACCACGCCCAGCTGGAGGACTGGAATCGCAAGCTCATGAAGAAACATGCCCTTGAGGGCACTGACCAGGTGGTCCAGATAATATAAGCTGTATGTCTACAAAATACACAGCAAACATGTATGGTTAGGGATCTTTCTCCTCAGAACTCTATCCTGCAAAATGCCAGGCACACAGCAGATGCTGCCCAACAAGTGTTTGCAGAAAACGATTTCATTATCAACAGATGTTGTTATAGTTGTTAAGTGCCTTTGAGTCGGTTCCGACCCTTAGCGACCCTGTATAGGGTTTCCTAGGAGCAGCTGGTGAACTTGAACCACCAACCTTGCAGTTCAAACTGGCTTTGCAGTCCAGCGCATTAACCCACAGCGCCACCCCAGGACGCCATCAAGAGATATTAGAGAAGACTAAATGAAGAGATAGATGCATTACATGCAATGACTGCAAGACCCAGTGCTGCCAAGAAGTCTGTTCTATGTCAGGTTTCTATTGTCAACAGCGCTTGACAAAGTGATTCTAGAACACACCTGGAAAAACAATGGAGAATGCAAAGAATTAACAAGACCTTCTACAGGTAGGACTTCCTCTACCCCACCAGCCACTCCTCAGACAACAATGGATCATATCATATTCCAGTCTGAAACGTAGCATGGGGATGGCACAGATATGTAGTTGTTGTTGTTGTTGTTGTTGTTGTTAAGTGCTGTCATGTTGGTTCCAACTCATAGCAACCCTGTGTAGGGTTTCCAAGGAGCAGCTATGGATTGGAATCCCTAACCTTACAGTTAGCAGTCCAGTGCTTATCCTATAGTGCCATACCAGAATATGGTGGTGATGGTTATGTGCCGTGAAGTCGGTTCCGACTCATAGCGACCCTGTACAAGGTTTCCGAGGCTGTAAATCTTTACGGGAGCAGAAAGCCTCATCTTTCTCCTGCGGAACAGCTGGTAGTTTCGAACTGCTGACCTTGCGGTTCGCAGCCTGCTTTGTAACCACTACGCTACCAGAGCTATACAAGTATTAAAGTGAAACAAGCCCACAGAACTGGCAATAGAGGATCAGAAATATCCATTTATAATAAAGACAACTATAAAGCAAGAAGAGGAAGAGTGTGTATACAGAACTCCCAAAAGACGAGCAGTCAGGTACATGTCAAGATCGACTGCTTTAAACGGCGGGAGAAACGAATGGGAAGGACTTTGCAGCAATGGCGCTGGCAAAACTGGAAATCCATTTTCGGGAGAATGAAACAAGACCCATATCTCACAGCATTTACAAAAACGCACTCAACATGGATTAAAGATCTAAATGTAAACCCTAGAATTACAAAGCTCACCAGTCAAAAAGTAGGGATAAACTTAAGGGCTCAGATACTATCACATTTAACTAAAAACAAATAGCAAAATAGATGCCTGAGACCTCCTAAAAATTAGACATGTGCATCAAAAGCTTTTGCAAAAAGAGAGCCCACAGATTGGGAAAGAAATTTTGGCAATGGCATATTAGACAAGGGTCTACTGTCTAAAATTTACAGAAGAGTTCAACCCCTCGACAAGAAGACAGCAAGTAATCCAATTGAAAATGAGCAGAAGACACGAACAGACACTTCACCCAAGAAGACAGTCAGGAGCCCAACAAGCAGAAGAAGAAAGACTCAGGATCATTAGACGTTGCTATTGTGGTGAAGCACCGTCGAGTTGGTTCTGACCCATAATGACCCTGTATTGGGTTTCCAAGGAGCTGCTTTGTCTGGTTTGAAACAAGAGCAGGCTACTAAGGCATGTTCCTGTGTGTTAAACATGTGCAGTACAGGACCCTCGGACCTCTCAGTCCATCTTAATAACTGTGTTTTCTCTAATAGCATGGCCTCTGTAATGGTGAATTCTGATATTCAGAAATGGTTTTGACGACTGTCTTGTATAATCAAGTAAACGAAACAAAGAAGGACCGTCCCTAGAGCCTGCCGAGAGAGTGGGTCTCAATTTCAGCTCCATGATACTGGTGTCAGACTCCATGTCTGAGAGAATAAATCCGCCCAGTTTGTGGTGACGAGTTACAGAGACGACAGAACTAGATTGTCAGGTTTAGGGACATGATAAGAAAAGGCAGTGTTTCCCTCAGGTGCTGGCTGACGAGGGGCAGTGGATCAAGGAGAGGCGAGGTGCCCGGGTGGGGCGGACAAAGCTTCATGCCCAGACCTGGCCCTCTGGAGATCCGTATGGACCTCCCCTGGGCTCTGCTTTACCACGGCCCAAGGTGATACCACTGTACCGCATCACCAAAGCCCTGGCAGCTCCTTCAAGTCCACTTACAGGCTTCTGGATGGTCGATGGATTGATGGTAAAGTTGCTCCTGTCCTGTTTAAATATCAAGATAATTTCTTCAGGGCAGGAGTAGGAAGCCCAGTCTTCCGTGCTTGTGGGCAAATCCTCCAGCTTTTTGGTGGGAACAGGGATTTGAGGCTGTGAAGGCAAGTGTTTGGGATTTACCTTAAAAAAATGCAGCTAGAACCTGCATCCACACGGCCAACTACACAAGGACAGACCAGGTGAAGGACACGGGTCCCCGGACGACATGTTCTTGGGGGCACTGAGGGCCCATGCTCCCCACATTCCTGACCCCATACAGTGGTCACTTTCCCTGGATTGGAGCAACCAACTTTGGTTTTGCCCTGGACACCCAGCACCCAGTCTTCCCGGGTGCCCACATCTAGAGCTCCCTGCTGGCAGGCAGGCAGACACCCTAGGAAGCCAGGCTTTAGGACACCTCAGCCCCACGCATCTTGCTCGGTGAACACAGGGTGGGCGGGTGTGCAGGACTTGCTTCAGAACCCTGGGTGGGCGTCAGTTCTGAGCGCTGTGTGAACACGCGGCTTCTCAAACTGAGATAGCATGTCCAGCCATGGGGACAAGCAACCACAATTCCAGTGTGTTTGCAGGTTTCACGGTACACACAGGCTCCCCCGGGGCTCATCTCCCACTCAGAGATGTCCCATCCCTTCAGCTCATTCAGAACCCGCGCCCTCACAGCCAGCTCCAGCTGACCTCCAGGGCCCTTGCCTCCATCCAGCCCTGCTGGGGGCCTCACTGGCGGTTACCTGCTTGGCCTCCCTGTTCTTGTCTTTCTCTCTTCCTTTCTCCTTCTCCTTTTTTGTTACTAACAAAGGTGAACTTGTCGCTGCTGGAATTTTGTTTTCTGGAATTAAGTTTCCTGCTGTGAACAAGGAAACCTAGTAGAAAGAAAGACAGCCTCACTTGTAACACGAGATGTGGACACGTGTGGACCGGGTGGGGGGCCCGGATCTACAGGGCCTCAGTGACACACCCGTCTGTCCACCTGGTCAAGGCAGTTTCAGGAGGAGGTGGGGCCCACTTGGAGTGGGCTTTGGAGCTTCGGGAAGTTTCCCTGAAAAAGAGCCAAGAACAGAAGTGGCTAGGGGTTGGTCCGAGGTCAAGGGTCAGGGATGGGTCCTTAAATAATGCTGATGAGACAGCTGAGAGGAAGATGCCAATTGAATCCTGGTGTGGCACTGCAGGGTAAGCACCGGACTAGTAACTAACTTCGAACTTTGGGGGTTCAAACCCATCAGTCGTTCTCGGAAGCCCTACACAGGGTGGCTGTGGGTCAGAGCCCACTGAACAGCACACAGCACCAGCAGGGAAATGTGCTGGCATCCTCAAGGTCTTCAGTGTGCCTGTGGGGGCTCTGTGCTTCCCTAAGGGGGCTCCAGGGCAGTCAGTGTGACGCCTCCTCTGCCTGGAGAGCAGCCTCACCTGCCAGATGTGCTGGACGAAGGTGTAGGCTGTCAGGCAAGAGTTCTGGAAACGGGGCGAACTCGGAGACAAGATTAGAGCCAGCAGGATGTGGGCGCGAGCGAGAGAGTCCAGCTGCCTCACGTTCCGGATGCTCTCCAGGGATGCCAGCCCTGTCTCCTCTGCCTCTTGGGAGCAGTCTGGCTCCTCTGGAGCCGCTTGAAGGAGCGTCTCTGAGAACACAGCAGATGTGACAGCCAGCAAGTCATCACCCAGTTGTCGAGGAGGGCCGGCACCTGGGGCCCTCCGGGCTGAGCCCCCACTTCCAGGACCCCACACCTGCTACCCCTCCCAGCTGAGCCCCCACTTTCAAGGCCCCATACCTGCTGCCCCTCCCAGCTGAGTCCCCACTTCCAGGGCCCCACACTTGTTACCTCCTCCCGGCTGAGCCCCCACTTTCAAGGCCCCATACCTGCTGCCCCTCCCAGCTGAGCCCCCACTTCCAGGGCCCCACACCTGTTACCTCCTCCCGGCTGAGCCCCCACTTCCAGGGCCCCACACCTGTTACCTCCTCCCGGCTGAGCCCCCACTTCCAGGGCCCCACACCTGTTACCTCCTCCCAGCTGAGCCCCCACTTCCAGGGTCCCATACCTGTTACCTCCTCCCAGCTGAGCCCCCACTTCCAGGGTCCCACACCTGTTACCTCCTCCCGGCTGAGACCCCACTTTCAAGGCCCCATACCTGCTGCCCCTCCCAGCTGAGTCCCCACTTCCAGGGCCCCACACCTGTTACCTCCTCCCGGCTGAGCCCCCGCTTCCAGGGTCCCACAGCTGCTGCCCCCTCCAGGACCCATTACGTGCACTCTGGGCACTGGCCATCGAGGCCCATCTGGATGACCCTCCCCAGTACCACTGGACTCAGCCTAAACCAAAGCAGCTCCTATTCACTAGCTGTCACGGGTGGGGGCTCCGGGGACAGTGCGGTGGCAAATGGAGGGGTGGGAAGGGCTGGACCTGCTCTCACACTAGACTGTGCTAGGACAGGGTCAGTCTGCACGCAAAGGCTCCTGAGGGGTCAAAGCTGCTGGGAGGGGAGCCCCCCGTGGCCACGCAGGGCCCCGTCACCTTGTGAGTGTGTGGTGCTGCTTGGGGGCTGGATGAACAGCAGGATGTCGATGGCCCAGTCGATGTGGAAAAGCACGTCTTCCTGAAGCCACTGTTTACAGTGCAGCCACTCGGCCAGCTCCAGGATGTAGTCCACCTTCTGCCACTCGCTTTCGGGCTTCTGGGGTCCAAGAACAGGGGGGCTCCATGAAGTACTTAATTCTGACTCACGGTGACCACAGGGGACAGACCCCGAGGGTCTCTACACCCACCCACCTGCAGGGCCTGGATGGCCTTGTGGTAGCACATGAGCTCCCCGTAGACGTTCTTGGAGTTGAGTGCCAGGCGGTGCCACATGTGTGCTAGATAGTCCTCACTCTCGTCTTTGAATTTCTGAATTTCCATAGAGAAGTCCTGGCCCAGTTTGGCCTTCACAATCACCATGTGCTTGAAAATCAAGCTAAGGAACATTGAAACACAACACTGAAACGGAATGACGAGAGCACACGAAACAGAGTGCTGGATTCAGCTGTCCAGGGTCACCCGCAGGGAGAGTGGTCCTGTGCTGTGCCCTAAATACTCATTCTCCTTGTGCCGAATGCTTGCTGGAAGAAAGTCCGCAGACGGGAATGGGGATGTGGGCAGATTCATTCTGTTGTGTCGTTAAGTGCCTTCCAGTCAGTTCTGACTCATAGTGACCCTGTATAGGGTTTCTGAGGAGAGCTGGTGCGTTTGAACCACTGATCTTGAAATTCAAACTGACCATGCAGTCCAGTGCTGACCCTACGGGCTACTAATGATACATAAGAAAAAATTCCATCTGAGTTTGAGAAGTCCAGTCTATATTTGTGTTTCTTAGGTGGCATGAACCCCTGGGGCTGCTGTGCTCAGAGGATTCTGGGCTCTCAGGCATCCCTTCTGCTAGTACCATGTGTGCATGTGTGTGTATGTGTATTTGTGAAAGAATGAGCATGTGAATGTATGATTGTGTGCTTGTGTGTGTGAGCATGCAAGTGTATATGCACGAATGTATGACTGTGTATGAACCTGTAAGCGTGAATGTGTGTATGTGTGCATATAAGTATGTAAGTGTATGTATGCATGAATGTGTGCATGAGCATGTATGTGTATGTCTGTGTGTATGAGTATGTAAGTGCATGTGTGCATGAACGTGTGTACGAGTCTGTGTGCACGAATATGTGTATTGTGTGTATCAGTGTGTGCAATGTATGAGTATGTATGAATGTGTGTATGAGCATGTAAGTGTACGTATGTGTGAATGTGTATATGAGAATTATGTGAAGGTGTGTGCATAGTGTATGTGTGTATGAGTATGTATGTGTGAATATGTGTATGAGTGCGTATGTACGGATGTGTGTATGAGTGTGTATGTGTGAATGTGTGTATGAGTGTGCATGTATGGATGTGTATGTATGTACGAATGTGTATATGAGTGTGTACGTATGGATGTGTATGAGCATGTATGTGTGTGTGTATGAGCATGTATGTATGATGTGTGTATGAGTATGTACGGGTGTGTGTATGAGCATGTATATATGAATGTGTGTATGAGCATATATCTATGATGTGTGTATGAGTGTGTATGTACGGATGTGTGTATGAGCATGTATGTGTGAAGGTGTGTATGAGTGTGTATGTATGATGTGTGTATGTACAGATGTGTGTATGAGTATGTATGTATGTATGTGTGTATGGGCATGTGTGTATGAGTGTGTATGTACGGATGTGTGTATGAATGTGTATATATGGATGTGTGTATGAACATGTATGTGAGCATCTCTGTGTGTGTCAGTACAGGTCTGAGGGGGCACCAGCTCTCGCTCAGAGAGTGGGGGTCACTCACAGGCGGTGAGACGTCCGTGGCAGCACCTGTACAGCCTCGTCCAGCACCTTGAGACCACCCTCCCAGTCGTCGTGGTCAGCATAGCAGTGGAAGAGGAGGCCGTAGAGTGCAGCCCGCAGCGTGAGGTCGTCCTCGGCCCCTGTAGGAGGGCAGGAGGGCGGTGTGGGCCTCTGACTCCACTCCATACATAGGGCACCTTAGGACATGCTTGACCCCCAGCAGAAGCCTCTCCTTTGCCAATGGTGCCCTCTGACCCTTAGGGGGCTGCCCCCATGCCGTAACCATCAGATTCTGACCATTTCTGACAAGTGCCCTGAGGGCTCACAAGGAGTGTGGGTGCCACAGACAGAAGACCCCACACGCCAGTGGATCGGTCATCGGCAGCCCTGCCCCTGTGGGGTAAAGCTGAGACTGACACACAGAGTTCAGCGTCACCCTCTGGGCCATGTGACTGAGGGCCAGCGATACACAGTCACACCCAGGATAACTAGGAATCCCCAAACTCATCCCGGTGAGACGGAGATGGGCATGCGGCCTGGGACCACACACTGTAGACCAAGGTATCTGCATGCTCTTTAGGAAATGCAATCTCGGTTTTCTGGATTTGGGACAAAGACTACAATTTAGGGCAGGTTTGTGCTGCGTTTCTAACAGGCAGACATGGAGAACTGCACGCCACCACCCGTCTGTCAGCGTGTGGCTCTGAGATGCTGGACACTGGCCCACTGGGGTCTCACATACCAGCAGGCCCACCCATGTAGGACAGATTTCTGTGGAGTTTCCAGACTGAGAAAGGCTGGTGACCGACTTCCAAAACCAGCCAGTGAGAGCTCGTGGGTCACAGCAGACCTGGCATTGTGCCGCTAGATTGGAAGGCACACCAAATATGCAGTGGTCACCATAAGTAGGCCAACCATGGTGAGGGTGGTGGGGAGCAGGCAACACCCCACTCTGTTTATGAACAGGAGGCGGAGTTTACTTGAAGCAACAGTAGTACTTCATTTACGGATGTCCAGCAAACACCGGGACTGTCCCCGTGAGACACCGGTGACAAGAGCTGCATTCAGAACACCAACTGTGTGGACCATGCCTTCTGGGAGGGACACTGGAAACTCCTGCTGGACTTGGTCCCTGGTCTACTCTGCTCCAGCTGTCTTCCACCAGCTGCTACCAGAGTGTCCCTGTGTCCCTGCTGGCCCCTGGGGAGGCAGACGGTTCACCGGTACCCAAGGCCTTGGGCCCCTCAGGACACTGCATTCGCCCAAGTTTCAGCAGCCTCAGCGGCGCTCATGTCCTCTCTTTGCAGAAATCTTGCTTCTTTCCATGAGTTAAAAAATCTGACCACGAGGAAAGACCAAGTCTTGTCTTCCATGCAGCACCACTTACAGACCGCAGCTGCAGGCCAGAGGGGCCCTTGGCCCCATCTCCCCACCCAGCCCTGCAGCTGTGGGCACCCAGAATAGCCAACTAGACGACCAGCTCTGGGACTGGATGCCTGGCTAGCGGATTTTGTAAGAAAATAAGGCTTCCGAGAACACCACTGGGCATGTGGCTTTGTTCCTTTCTGAGGTGTTTCCTGTAGTGAACCCCATAAGCAGGAGTCTGGGATCAGAGGATGGACCCGTGTATGAATCCCACCACATGTTGCACTGAGAAGGATGGGGCAGGCTGTGCCAGCTCTGGGCACGGAAGTGTACGCACCTTCCTGCCTGCAAACCCAGGAGCCAGGAGGGCAGGTAGCAGCCTTCCACCAACATCTGAAATTCGAGGACCATGGAGGGGCCTGCACTGTTTGCATTCACTGCCTAGCCCCGGCTAACCGAGCGGTCACAAGCACAATGCACAAGGCAGGGTTTCCTCCATTCTTAGGGAGACATGCCTTTCTCCAGATTCGAGGTTGATCCCGCTGACCTCCTACCTGCTTGAGACTTGAGACCATTTGTCAGCAGAGCTGACAGCTGCCAGACCCTCCATGTCTTCCATGTCCTCACGACAAGGAAGACGTTCGCTCTTGGAGCTTGGCCACTGGCCACTGGGCCCTTGCTTGGGTTAACTTGTTACAGCCTGTCCAGACTAATGTGAATTTCATGTTGTGTGAAAATCAGTCATTTGCTGCTAGATTCTGTGTAAATATTTCCCCAGTTTGTTTTAAAATCTCTGCATTATTTGGAAGACTTAAAATCTGCAGCCAATCAAACAACAGCCAAAAAGAAAATAATAAAGGATAAAAATGGTGGGGGGAGGGGAGACAGACAGCGGCAAGAAAAAAGAACAGAATAATTAAAAAGGGAAAGGAAAGCAAAACCACAGAGAGGAAATAAAGGAAGACTATAGAAAGAAAGGAAAAAGCACATAACAAAACTGAGGAGAGGGAAAAATAAAAGAGAAAGAGATAAGAGAGCAGCAAAGAAAAATCAAGAGGAAAAATTAGGAAGCAGGAAGAGGAGATAAGAAAAAAATTAACAGAAGAAGAAAAAGGTAAAGCACAGAGAGTAAGGGTAATACGCAAGGGAAGGGACGAGAAGAAGAATCCAAGAAAGAAAAAATAACAAAGACAACAAAAGGAAAAACCCCAAAACAAACAGGGCAGGGACCGGACTCAGAAAGGAGAAAACTGTGGGAGCTCCTGCCAGCCTCGGAGTTCATGAAGTAGGAGATGAGGGGATGAGAGGGTAGCGCGCCCAGCCTAGATGACGACTTCTCTATGGTTTGGGCAGGCCTCAAGCTGGCTGAGTTCAGGGTCTTTGTTTTCAGAATGAACTCTTTCAGGCCCAAAGGGCTCCGTGGGACAGGACACTGCTTCTGAGTTCCTGCTGGCTGGGGACTGGTTCTGCTCATCTGTGCTCTGCTGGCCTCCAGAAACCAACTTCACCTGCCTCCCGGCACTGGCGTCTATGCTGAGCAAATTGGCTTACATGAAGAAAAATGTGGCCTCAGGATTGGAGGAAGACTCATTAATAACCTGTGATATGCAGATGATACAACCTTGCTTGCTGAAAATGAAGAGGACTTAAAACATTTACTGATAAAGATCAAAGAGCACAGCCTTTGGTATGGATTGCATCTCAATGTCAAGAAAACAAAAATCGTCACCACTGGACCAATAAACAACATTCTTATCAACGGAGAAAAGATTGAAGATGTCAAAGACTTCATTCTTCTTGGATCAACTATCAACACTCATGGAAGCAGCAGTTAAGAAACCAAATGACGTATTACATTAGGCAAATCTGCTGCACAAGAACTTTTTAAAGTGTTGAAGAGCAAAGATGTCAGCTTGAGGACTAAGGTGCGCCTGAACCAAGTCATGGGATTTTCAATAACCTCATATGGATGTGAAAGCTGGACAGTGAATAAAGAAGACCATAGAAGAATTGATGCTTTTGAATTATGGTGTTGGAGGAGAATACTGAAAGTGCCATGGGCTGCCAAAAGAACCAATAGATGTGTATAGTAGAAGTGCAGCCAGAGCACCCCCTGGAGGCTAGGATGGCCCAACTTCATCTCTCATACTTTGGACATATTGTCAGGAGGGACCAGTTGCTGGAGAAGGATATCATGTTTGGTAAGATGGAGGGTCAGAGAAAAAAAGGAAGATCCCCAGGGAGATGGATTGGCCAAGTGGCAGCATCAGTGGGCTCAAGCGTGACAACAGTAGTGAGGTTGGCCCAGGATCGGGCAGTGTTTCGTTCTGCTGTGCACAGGGTCACTATGGGTCAGTACCGACTCGATGGCACCTAACAACAGTAACAACAAGGAGTCCTGGTGTGATGCTGTGGGGTAAAGCACTGGGCTGCAAGGTTGGTATGAAGCACAAGGTCGGCGCTTCAAACTCACCAGCAGCTCCTTGGAAACCCTATACATGGTCCCTATGAGTAAGAGCCGACTCAACGGCACTTAACAACAACAACAAATAGATGACAAAGTCCTAAAAGGTAGAGAGCTGTTCTACCCACAGCATTTACCAACTTCCCAGACACACGTGTGGAACACTTTCTTCTGTACACGAGGAAATATGCTCGGCCGTATGGTGCCCTGTTCTAAGTCAGCACTCGCCCTTGAGGGTGCAGGAACACACCTCCACAGTTTTATGGAGGGAGAAGAATATCATTTGTCTGCACACTCAGGGTGGCCTGGGGCTCTGATGGCCTGGACACAGGTCTGGCCCTCCTGGGCTCTGCCTTCCTCATGGGCAGAGCAGGACGTTCATGGAACTGACTGAGACATGTGTGAACAACGGTCCCAGCACCTGCTCTACATAAAATGGCGGAGAGATGCTGGCTGTCATTGTCGGGGGCCTTAGACGAGGGGAACACGGTTACAGCTGAAGCCCTCTTTTGAGGTTTCGAGGTTACAGACCTGGGAGGAAGTAGCCCTCGGTCGTCCCGCTGCTTTGAAAGTCGGCTGTCAGCCACTGATGCAAGAGCAGAGTCCTCTCTTTCTCCTACAGGAGGACAAGGGCAGAGCACACACTGGGAAGGGCCCGTCTTCCTCTTTTTGCTGGACACCTAACTACAGAGATGGCGGCTACCTTTCTAAGATGCTCACAGAGAACTGCCCCATGGTGAGGAGAAGCCGAGCACATGCACACACACACACACACACACACACACACACACACACGAGCCACTCCGCACTGCTCTATGGGAATCATCGTATCTTCAGAAGGACTGAACTTTTGGTATGTCCCACATGTGCCGGAGGACTCGGTGAAAACTCTATGAAGCACCATGGAGGGCCCCACCGGCCACTCCAGAAACTACATAGGGTCGCTATGAATCAGAACTGCCTCAAAAGCACTTAACAACAAAATAACCGCAAGCATCGATGGCTTTATCATGTGGTGCATGCCTTCAAATTTCTCTCTCAAAACCCCTGACATCAACTCATGGCCAGTGGACGGCCCAGACACCTCGATGGCCTTGCGGGCAGGCTTGGGGCAGGTTCCAGAGCTGGGAACCGGGGCTGACTGCCGTGCTCACTAGTGCCGGCTGGGTGATGGCGGCCAAGCCTTGGCCCACCCCTGCCACTTTGCTGACTTTCTTTCTGTCCCTCAGTCGCATGGTCCAGGTCTAACACAGGTCTGGGGACACCCCCATGCACACATGCAGGAAGTGTAGGGGGAAGCGGGCCAGAGCTGAGCAGTGACCCTTATTGTCCTGTCCTTCCTGTCTCCAGTCAGGCTTCACAGCCCTGGGGCCAGCCTTCCTCATAGATGCTTGCCCACCCACCAGGTTAGCAGGAGTGCAGCTGGCCCAGCCATGGCCTCTAGGCCATACCTGCTTCTTGCTCTCAGTCTGGTTGATGATGCGGATGAGTCTCTGGACCACACTCTTGACCTTCCTCCGGATGACCCCAGAGGACAGCATCGGGAAGCAGGTGTTCCAGTAGCGTCTGGCGGCCAGCAGGACCAGGGTGCTGTTTTCCGCGATGCCCCCGAACCTGGAGGGGGCAGTTAGTGAGCGGGTGTTGACACCTTACCCTAGATGCCCCCCTCCCGCCCTGCTCCCGGCCATGTCTGTGTCACCAGGCATGGTGTGTTCCATGGAGGGCACGGTTCTGGGCAACCCTCACCCCTCAGAGCTTGTCCCTTAGTTCCTTCTCCGTCTTCTCCAGGGATTCACCCAGCTCCTCCCCAGCTTCCTCCCCCAGCTGAGGGTCACGTGCAATAGAAAATAGGGGCGTTCAAGGATAATAGAAGAGGGGGAGACGACACCCTTGTCCTCTAACAAAGCAGAGACCCCGCCCAGTGTCCACTGCTTGAGAAGGCCACACCCCTCCGGCCTACCAGCTGAACCTTCGACTCCTCTCGCAAGCGGGTGCTCCTAGCATGCCTGGGAGGACACTGCCTCCCCCGCTAAAGCCCCGCTAAAGGACTGCCCAGTGGCCGCCCGAGGAGCATTCAGCAGGGTCCTCACCATCACTGAGAGGTTAGACAAGTCTTCCAGCGACCACAGTCCTCCCTCCTCTCAGGGACCGAGCCCCGCCCCCAGGTCAGGTACCTGGCGCTCTCCATGAAGGACCTCGCTGCCGTCAGCCGTAACTGCTTCTGGCCCTTCAGGTTTCCCATGATGCTGTCACCTTGGATGCAGGCAGCTGTGCTCAGTGTCTCCGCCATGAAGCGAGCGTCGGGCCTGGGAGCAAGATGGCCGGCCATGTCCTCTCCCCGCCCCAAATCTGGGACGGCTTTGAGGACAGTTCAGCCATAGAACAGCTGATGTGACCTTGGGCCCAGAAGTCAGGCTGTGCTGACCGGCTCCTGCCACCAGCATGTGTATGTGTGTGTGTGTATGTGTATGTGTCTGTCTGTCTGGAATGGTCCCTACACCAGGCAGAGCACTAGGTAGGGAAATTCAATTCACTGGCATTGTTTCAAGGATGCCCAGAGGCTGGGCTGTGGTAAAGGCTTAGTCTTGGGAGCCCTAGGGTAGAACTAGCTGGTGGTTATGTGCCGTGGAGTCGGTTCCGACTCACAGCAACCCTGCACAGGGTTCCCGAGGCTGTAAATCTTTGTTGTTGTTGTTATGTGCCGTGAAGTTGGTTCCGACCCATAGCAACCCTTGCACAGGGTTTCTGAGGCTGTAAATCTTTATGTGAGCAGAAAGCCTCATCTTTCTCCCGCGGAACAGCTGGTGGTTTCCAGCTGCTGACCTCGAGGTTAACCGGCCAACTGGACCCACTGGGTGGCGATGAGAGTAGACTCTACTGCAGTGGGTGCAGTGTGGGTTTGGGCACTGTTTTCACTGAGACCTGTTTCTGCTATTATGTGTTATTGTGACAATTGCTCTGATATATATCGTGTTTCTGAATATACCCAGCAAAACAGAAAAGCTGGTGCCTTTTAAAAAGTCTAACTAACTGCCATGTGTGCGTGTGGCAGGTCATGCCCTGGGCCCTGCTTGACCCTGCGTGCCCCGAATCTCCATGAGCAAACAAGCCTGTGTGTCTCAGTCTCCAGGCAGAAGACCTGGCAGGGTGGCCCTCACCTGTGGCTGATCCACACATAGACCCCCATGAAGTCCAGGGTAGGGTGCGGGCCCACTAGGGGCGATGACGTATATCGCCACTAGAGGGCGGCAACGGCCAACAAATGAGTTTTCAAAAGGGAGAGGGGTTTTGAGAGAGTCCTGGTGTGCCGCTGGCTGTGGGTTAATGTGCCAGGAAGTCGGCTTGAACTATAAGGTCAGCAGTTCAAGTCCACCAGCCACTCCTTGGAAACCCTATGCAGGTCGCTCTGAATCGGATCTCACTCTATGGCACTGGATAACAGCACCAATATTCAAAACTCCCAGCCGTTCTGTGGGACAAAGATGAGGCTTTCTGCTCCGGTAAAGATTTATAGCCTCAGAAACCCTGTACAGGGCCGCTGTGAGTCAGAACCGACGCCACAGCACATAACCAACCAACCTACCAAATATATATATTATATAATCTATATTATGTAATTAGAGAGTATGAGAGAGAGAAACACACTAGAATGTCGACTTACGGTCTGGCTGTCTTCAGATACCTAATGCCCATCTGGATGGCCTTCTGTGAACATGACATGGTGATTTCATGGTCGTGGGCCATGGAGGCAAAGTAGGTCAGCCGAGTGAGGGTCTGAAGCTCCACCAGGGGGTCCAACCAGTTACACTCAGAAGCCATTTTCACCAGCTTTCGGAGTCAGAGGAGAAGGACATCTGGGTTAGGTCAGGTTGAGAGGGTGGGCTCGGTAAACTTTCCGAGTCCTACTCGACCTGGTTATGAGAAGAGTAACTGTGAGTTCCGTCAATCTGGTAAACTCAGGACCTATTCTAGGGTTCTCCAGACCCGATTACGAGCGCACGTCATTTCAGGCACATGCACAGGAACTGGTTGGTGAGCCTGCTGTCAGACAGGCTGGGTCATGGGCAGGGACGGGGGTGCAGGGTTAACTCAAACTCTGATGCTCTAAGACCAACAGCACCAAGTGACACGTGGGGACAGGCTTTGGGATCTACTACATGCTAGTGGTGCCACCTCAGGTGGGACTCTTCTGAACCTGTCTGCCTGCCGGCGAAGCGGGAATAAGTAAGATGTGTCGAGTACGTGTCGGCTGCACGGTGGATCTCCTGGCATGCAGCACCATGGTCAGTACCAGCAAGTGTTAGGATTGGAGACGTTTTACTCGGGTTTACTTAGAGTATGTGCTAGACAGGTGACACCTACCTGTGCCGAGGGGGCAGGTGCTGGGTGATAATCACAAGCATGGAGGGGCAAGTGCTAGGTGACACCCACCTGCATGGGGGCGTGCCAGGTGCTAGGTAACACCCACCTGCATGGAGGAGAGTCAGGTACTAGGTAACACCCATCTGCGTTGCAGGGTCAGGGGCTAGGGGCGTCAGGTACTAGGTGATACCCACCTGCATCAGGTAGGGTGTCGGGAAAGAGGGTGTCAGGTGCTAGGCCACACCCACCTGAGCCAGGGGAGGCACGATGAACTCCATGAGGCCCAGCCCGTTGCAGGAATACATCTCCAGGGCAACAAGCACCTTGGTCACGGAGCTGATCTGCTCGTCTGCGCTCTGAGGAGGAAGCGGAGCACCAGCTCTGGGCCCTGGGAGGGTGTGTCCACCACTGAATTCAGCCTGGAGCCTCAACAGATCACGTGCGTGGGAGTTTTTCCCTCAGACATTGATCTTTGGCCACACCAGCCCCCAGCCCAGCGCAGAGGCCACTTTCCATCTCTGCCTCCCCTGGAACCACACACCATAGTGTATAAGAGGGGTGGGCAGGGGTGTGGGAAATGGGGGACTTGTCCGCAGCTCATGTGGCTAGAGTTCTGAAGCAGAGGTTTACCCAGGTCTGGGCTGACATGGGGAAAGGCCCCCGCCTGCTCCCCGACTTGCTCCCACTGCTCTCCCATCAAAACCACACGAGTGGACTCAGGCTGAATTGGTTCCCATGTCCAGAGGCGAGGGGCAGGGGGAAGGAAGAGAATGCCCGTGGTCTGAGGACAGACGGAGCAGCCACCTTGAAGAGAAAACTGGAGCCCAAACCTTCCAGGAAGGGAAGGGACCCTTTGCAGCTAAAATGCAATTCTCTTCACTGCTGCCTCCCAGAGAAGACATGGCCGGGTGCCTCACAGAGCCCCCATGGTGGGAACACCTCATGGAGTCCCTGGTGTAGGGACAGGTGGGGGCCACAGCTCACGGAGCCCTTGGGGTCAGCCCACCTGCTCATCCACACCCAGCCGGGGCCCAATCTGCTGCTGCATCAGCTGCTTGGCCTTCACCCAGGTGGCAATGAGCTGCTGCCGGATGTTGGTGGGCACTATGTCCTCAGGCACGGTCCCATCGGTCAGGTTCAGGGCAAACTCACAGACCTGGCAGAATGAGGGTGGGTACTCAGCTGGCAGATCCCTGGGTCTTCCTTCAATCCCAAGGCTGACCCACCCAGCACCATCCCATCCACGGTCCATCAGCACTGCTATCCCAGGGTGCACAGGGGAAACCCAGGCAGAGGGCAAGAAATGCCGTCAAAGTTGCCCAGAGAGTGAGGACTGATCCTGAAGTGGCTGGCAGACCCTAAGCACAGGCTACTGAGGTCAGGGTTGAGCCCCCTTACTTGCTGGCCAAGGTCCTTCCCTCCTATTCCCTCCCACCCTGCTGGCTGCGCACCACGCCACGCTGTGATTCCCCATGCCACGCTGGGCACCCCCATGCTAAGCTGTGACCCTCATGCCACGCCGAGCCACCCCCACGCCATGCCGGACCCCCCTGCTGCGCCAGGCCCCCTGCCACGCCGTGCCCCCCACCATGCCATGCCCCCCACTCCATGCTGTGCCCCCCCGCCACACTGTGCCTCCACCAACTCCCCATTCACTGCCCTTTTGGTCTCGCCTTAGGCACCCCTTCTTCCTTTCCTACCCAGAGTCAGCCATGAGCACTGTCAAGGGGCATCCCTTCTGAGATGAAGAAAATCCCAAGGTGGCCCCAGGGTACACACACAGCCTGTGGCACCCAGACTAGAACCCTGGGCCCCCGGCAGCAGTCCAGGCCTCCTCCACCTGCTCTGATCAGGCTAGGTCTCATGGAGCCCGGGTGGGAATTGTGTGAATTGTGAACTGGGCTCTGTGGGTCATGGCCTGGGGCTGGTTACAGCCTCCACACACAGTCTCTATCCCCCCCCTCCCTTGGCATCTCTAAGGGCTCACGCATCACACAGTCTCTGTC